GCCAAGTGATTTCTTTAACCAGGGCATTAACAACCTGATTGTATGATGGAAAAGCATCATCGATTAGAATGGAGACTATTTCATTTAATAAATGTTTTGTTTTGATATACAACTTGTTTGGGTATTTTCATCTAAAAAAAAGCGACATTAATTTATTGACGATATATTATAGTAAAGAGACTAGCTTTTAGGAAAGATAATTTATCTTGTTCTTTGAAACAGTGGAATAAGGTGCTTTTGAGGGACCTGTATAAATTATATTCAATCAGTGTCTGTATGTTTGCTGAAGAGTCAATAATCTGATTTTGAAGCTAACAGTAAAATTTATGATCAGACAGACAGAATAATAATGGGTTAAATACTTGCACCTAGTTTAGCAAAAGCAATCACTAAAGAATTATACAAAGAATGTTAAACCTAAAATGTTGTTACATCTCTGGTCGTTTGTTAATTTCCCATAAAGATTCTTCAGAGATACAAGTCCTTTCTTAAATAAAACTAGTTTATTCTTTCTCAATACAACTTTGCAATACACAGAATTTCCACAGTCACTTTAACTTAAACACATGCTATAATTCACAACAATTCACGCACTTTACTTATGGTCACTACCGCTCACTTGACTCAATTATCTGTCTCTATCTCCATCTGTCTGCAATTATTATCTCACCTTTATTTGCCGGGCTTATATACTAAAATAGAGGGTGCCTAGAAAAGACTAGAGTTGCCAGGAACAGTCATGATCCTTATAGAAACTCCAGCGCGCATGCTTCCAACATCACGTGACTTCCGCTGTTGTAAAAGAAGGTTTACAGTACTGTAAGAAAGTCATGAGAAACAGCGGGGTGATTATATTAATATTATATATTATAACAGCAAGGATTTTTTTAAGTATGTTACAGGTAAGAAAAATGCTAAAAGTGGGATTGAGCCCATAAAGGATGCTAATGAAGGCTATGAGCTGATTGAGCTTTAATTTTTTTTTACTTTTCTTTTTTTATGAACAATATAAGCAATCTTCTAAGGAAATGATGAAATTAACTTGAACCATTTACACATTAATCTCCTGGTGGTAAGTATAAAGATTGAGAGAGTTATAATGCATAAAGCACCAGGACCAGACAACGTTTTACTGAGAGTTTTAAATAAGGTTAAAGATTAAATACACAAGATTTTCTTATTTTTGGTAAGTCAATAGACAGTAGACAGATGCCTAAAAAAGGGAGAGATGCTAATGGTACTTCTATTTTTAAAAGAGGTGATAAGAGAAATTACAGGCCAGATAGTGTTACTTTGTTTTAGTAGAAAAATTATAGTCTAATTGAAAAAACTTTAAAAGATTATTAATTGAATATGATATCACAAAAGAAAGCTAATTTGGATTCACTAAAAGGAAACTTATCTTACTATACTATGTTAACTTCTTTCCAGGATATGTTATTTATCTGGATGATGGAAAGTGAAGTTCGTAGCTTTTGATACAGTGCCCCACAGAAGATCAGTTAAATATTGTATAATGTTGCACACTCTCACAATCAGAAACAGGAAATGGATCATATGATCTCCATAAGCAAAGTCTTAAAGCAATTTTAGCATGAACAAAATTTGGTGTTTTTTAAGATAATCATTCTGTCCACCTTATTTTCAAGGTAAGAATCTCAACAAATCTTAATGATTTCAATATATATATTCTAGAAATGTTTTAGTGTAAAATATCTTCATCTAACTGACAGAAAATACAGTATAGTAGGTATGATGTCTGAAAGCAACAGTGGACTCAGCATTCTAGCTTTTATTCATAGAATTGGATGATAAGAATATATAGCATAGTATTAAATGTTTATAAGGAATTGCACTGAGCAAACATGTTGGAGTTTCTGAAGCATATCTACACTTATATATTTTAGCATAATTTTAAAAATTGAATTGTAACTCAACCATTTTGCTTTTCATGATTTATATTTCAATTCATAGCAACACTGTGTATACTTTCTTATTTCTAATAATAAACTAGTATTTATAGTCAGTGGTGCCATTTTAGTAAAATATTGGGGAGTGGAGCAAAGTTGAATCCTAATTCCTACAAAATACGTGAACTGTTGATGATGTAGCATGTTCTGGAGTTCATACATTGACTGTAATAACTACATAAGAGCCAGAGGGTTACAAGGAATAAAAAATAAATAGGGAAATTTCGATTTTGTACTTTGTATATACTAATACTTTTAAATTATCATAACCCATTAACCAGGTATTTTAAAAAATAAAATAAAGCTTAAGTGGGATGGCTGCCTCCAGTCCTCTCCAACTGGCACCACTGATTATAATGTAAACTGGAATTTCACTAAATTATATGTTTTTATTATCTACAGAAACATTGTTACATGGGTTGAATTTTTTTTTTCTACTGTCAGATTTGGATTAAGTACATGAAACAGATGATCCTGTAACTTATGCTATGCTAGCTGGAGGGAAGAGTAGAAGATGAACATTTTCTATGATGAACACGAAGCAGTCCACAGGAAATTCCTTTATTAGAACCTGCCTTCACTGAACAAATGTATATATACAGGATAAGGGATTACAGAGTTCACTGAATACTTCCTAATTTGGTAGTGAAGTACTAAAATATCTAGTTGAGGAAACAAATAAATTGGCTTTTCACACAAACACAGTAATCTCTGGTTCTTGTCCCATGTTTATAAGTACAAGATTTTCTGTCATTTTGGGTTACTAAGCCTTTTTTCACACCTTCACTTTCAATTATTATTTCCTGTCTAAAGTACAAGGATGTTATCAATCTACATTTTTCTGTCCATAGACTGTTTCTTTAGCTATTTATGAAACATATAGAGCTATGGAAGTGACAGAGCAAACCTCACTTGAATATGACCACATCCAGCAAGCTTTGCCCAATTAGACCCTCTTACTTGTTCATTTAAGCATATATGTTCCTATGTTTCTAAGTATAATACAAATCATTTACTGTACTCAATCAGTCATTTCATTCTCCTCAATGCTAATAATAAATGTAAGAACTTTGTGGGTTTATAAAATAATTTTTAAATGAATAACAGTTATTCTTTAGGTTTTTTTTAATGGTTATCTAATTTACTCATTCACTCAACAGTTTTTATTTGCCACCTAAGGACAGGAAGATACAGTAGATTCACCTGATAGGCAAGGAGGTTATTGAACTGTAAAAATAAATTTACACTATCACAAATCTTATATTTATAGAAGTTACCGATATTTTCTCTTCATCATTTTGTTTATTTTTATGCATTTCAAAATGTTTTCAGTATTTGCAAATGGTATGACAATAAATGCTAATATAAAATCTAGACTTCACTTAGCTAAATATTAAGTTATAAACAAGAAAGGGGTTTTATTTAATCTCTTAAATAATTAACTTAATTTCTGGGTGTCTTTCAGATAATAAAACTAACTAATGATATCACCAAGTTGCAAAATGTGTACCTTGCTTCATATCAGTGAATCTGAATTTAGGAAGACATTTTCTCAGTTTTGAGTTTCTAGCCATTTTTCTTTATCTGTCCACCAGAGCTGCTGCTAGCAAATGGTTGAGAAAGTTAAGGTTTAATCATCAACACCAAAAACTATAACAAAACATCTAAAAAAATTAGACTACCTGATATGTGAAAATTAATATACAATTTTCACATAAAAAACAATAATTTATATTTTGAAATTGAAGACTTCTATCACCATTTCAGCTGTATCTTATATGGAAATTTCATCATTTTTTCATCCATTATTTAAGAAAAATAAAAACTTCAAAAATGATGAAACTTAATATAACATTAAATTCCACTTTATATGTTTTGAATAATGTTGAATTTAAAAGAAATAATTAAGTTTCCTATAATCAACAAAAACATATCAAATTCCTAAACTTAGATACAAGAATTTCCAAAGAATGATTCAATTATTACAGCCTATTATCGGGGTATGTTTTGCTTTTTATTTTTCTTAAGGATAATGTTTTAATTTGCCAAAACATTGTGAATGCCATATTTTTCATGCTTGGAATCCAGAGATAGAAACTACACACTTCATATAGCTTCATAACTTTTATCAAGCAAAAGAAACCTTGTTTATCCACATATGAGTCTCTATTTCACTATCTCAGCCTACAGTCAAAATCTTAATTCTTTTACAGTTTATTCTTCTTTTAGATTATAATTCCTTTTCAACTAAAATGACTTTTATCTCTATGAAACTTTGTTTCTAACAATATTGAACGTAGTGGGTGATGTAAGCACACAGTTTTACAACAAAGACTTTGCTTCTTATTAAGCTAGAGATCAAATATTAATGTATGTATGTTGTATGAGGAGTAGGGTAAAAAAGACAATGGAAAAAAATACAGCGAAATTTACACAAACAAGTACAAAAAGTAAAATATATATATATATATATATAGATGTAAAAAGCAAACAAATTATACAAAACTAGAAAGGATAAACAGAAGAGTAGGGTTTAATAGCAGTAAAATATGAAAATTAAAGGGTGTTTGTCCAGTCTTTGAAATTAATATAACCAAAGTTTTATTCATTTATTTTTGTATGCAAAAAGATAAAAATACAAAAGTTAGCATTAAAAAATTTCACCAAAAAATCCAAGTTGTACTTCAGGTTATGAAACAATTGTCCAACCATGGCTACAAGATGAATCATTTTGAATAAAACTGGTACAGGTTTCTTCCTTGTCTATTAGCAAAAAAATTAACTTATTTCTGTTTTTTATTACAATAAATAACAACTGGCACATAGAAAAAATATACATTTTAAATAATAATACATATTATACACTTGTGCACTACTTTTGAGATAATAGATTAATATAAAGCAGGAACGTCTTAAGGAAAACATGCAAAATATCTTTCTAAACATAATTTCCTAATAAGAGAAACATGTATGGGGTGGGCAAAAGTCTGGGCACCCTCCTTATTTAAAGCTCATGTGATAATTCACTGTTGGGCTTTATCAAACAGATTGTGGCAAAAGAATGATACGAAACAACTGATGCTTTGAAACAAACAATTATTGAAAGTTTCGCTAAGGTCACCCCGAGAATGCTAAGGAGGATGTCACATTGCACATGGAGACATATCGTCCTATGTCATGAAAATGAAGGCCAACAAGCAGACAGTTGGGATTATAAATTGAACCTTTTGTTAGTCTGTGTCAATATGAGATATGTCAATATTCAATAAATAAATTTTTCTTTGATGTACTCTATCTTTATTTGAGGGGAGTGTCCAGACTAGCCCACCCTGTAATATTAAAGTCAAAGATGTGTGTCTGTAGAAGCTTACTAATTAGGAGCAATGAATATTTAATGAGAGAAAAATGCAATATTTTACTGAAAGGTTGAGAAAAATTGCCACACACACAAAAAAAAGACTACATCATTGAGATAGGCTGATTGTTATTTTTGAATTTTCTTTATGCACACTACAATATCACTGTTTTCAAAGTATATTCTATATATTTTTAGAAGCTAATGCTAAACAATTTAGGATATTAATAAAATGCAGTATTTAAAATATATTACTTTTAATCATTTCATATTATTATATATAAATTTCTATCTCATTCATAAAGTATATAGATTAATAGTTTCTTTTACTGATGTTTTTTTTTATTAATTGATTTTTAATATGGCTATGGAATTTTATTGAAGTTAAATACTTACAAGTCAAATATTTCAACAACAAAAAATTAGCTCAGTTACACTTGGAATCTTTAAATCACAATTACTCTACCATGTGTTTTGTTTTTTTATTAAAAGTGCCAATGTAGTAAAGTAATATTGTTATTACTTTTTTACTAACATTCACACATAAAGTATACCATGTACATGTAAAATGAGTAAAATCTAAATAACTACACAAAAATATTAATAATTATGGTACGGTAATGAAACAAAATGTGAATTTTTTTTACTGTGTCCTAAAAATACTAATACTAGTTGTTTTGGCAGATTAGTATACATTATCAATTACTGTCACAGACAATATATGAAAAAAAAAATTGCAAGTCACTGAGAGCAATGTGTATAATAAACTGAGTCTAAATATCTCGTAAGAAACCAATGTCTTATCCATACAAAGCAGTGGATTATGGCATAGAATATTCTATGAGGGTGACAAAATGGTACAATTATTCTTTTAAGCTAGATTTTGGCAGTGTTTTGAACTTTTTTGGTTCGAATTGTTCTGGACATTTCCTGAAATTTTACTTTGTGCTGAGAAAGCATTTTGAGCTCTATGCTGAATCCTTCTTCAGATCTAAGACTTGTCATGGAACCTGAACATTATACCAGCACAAAGCAAAAATGACAGATGTAATAAAAAATTATAACCAAAAGTTAAGAAAACTACTCTATAAGGCTTACTAATTGTGTTTTTGTTGCGTACCACTTAGTCTTGTGTCAAAATCAAATATCATCTTCATGAATTTACTGTTTTTTATATCATCTATATAATTCCAGTAATAACATTTTCCAGCTAACAAAAACTCACATTTAACAACGAAAATCTTTTTATCCAGATTAAAAATACTCATTTAACTTTATTGTAAAAACAAAAACTTTTGTTATTACTATAAGCAAAATGGAAGAATATTTTCTTTCTGGTGTTGAGCAACCTCAACAAAGCAAAGAGACGGTGTCTCCATAACACACACGGAAAAATAAAAATATAAATCTCTACCTGATTTTACTAACTTATCACTAGATTTAAATAACTGTCTCTAAAAATTACATTTACAACTGTACTCAAAAAAGAATCCTGTATCCTAGAAAAACAAAAATGTCACAGTTTTAACATAACGTTTAGGGACCTACTGGTCTATCTAAGCTAGCCCATCCTCTAAACTAAACCTATTAAAAAAAAACCTCAAAGCCAGCCCTTATCATTCATATACTTATCAAGTTTTTCATTTTGCTCACTTAAATTTACTGCCTTCACAACATCCAAAAGCAACCTATTCCAAAGGCCAATCACACTGCTAGAAAAATAAAATTGTCTTAGCTGAAAGTAACTCCTACCTTGCCAAAATTTATATCTGTGTCCCCTACTCCTACCATTCTCACCATTAAGTATGAATATGATGATGTAACAACACTACTAATTCCCATACAATCTTAAACACACCAATCAGATCCCATCTAACGCTTCTTTTTCAAGAAAAAACAATTTCAGAGATCTTAACCTTTCCTCCTATGACAATCCCTACATCTCAGGCATCATTCTACAAATAGTAGCAACACCACGCTGCTTGGATGACTTAAGCTAAGAATATGAAACTGATCAACCACTACGCCAAGATCCATTTCTTTTATAACACTGTTATTATTATTATTATTATTTGGTTATTCACATCCAAATTATACTTATAATTCAGATTATGATAACCCACACGTATTTGCTTGCATTTGTTATAATGAAAACCAAACTGCCATTTATTTGCCAATCAGTGGCGTACCTGAGGTATGGCAAGTACCTTGGGCACCACTGAGCAGTTTCTATTAAAG